GTCTCAGCCAGTAGGTCCTGGTGTTGCTCCACAGCTTGTCCCGTCTCTCCCCTCGGGCAGTTCCACCACCGTGACCCTGGAATCGTGGGGCTGCTGACCAGTGACAAGATTCCTGTTGGGCGGAGGGTCTTCTACGGGATGATCTCTGATGGCATCCACACCAACCCTGCCGCCCTGCGGATCGCCCACAGAGCCCACCCCAAAGGTGAGTCACACCGGTGTCACCAGCCCCTCCAAGCACTGGGCCACCTCCCACAAGACACTCGTGCTGCCCTCGCTGCCTGGAAGGTCACAGCCACATGTGCTGATACCCTCGCACTTTGGTGGGATGTGGCTGGAGACACCATGGCCCCTCTCTGGGAGGGCCAGCGGGGCACAGTGCTTAGAGCTGCAGCAAAATCAGCTGCAAAGCTGACAGGGCCCCTTTGCTTGTGTTGCTCAGGCCTGGTGCTGGTGACAGATGCGATTGCTGGCATGGGGCTGGCACCGGGGCGGCACACGCTGGGACAGCAGGTGGTGGAGATTGATGGGCTGAACACCTACATCGCAGGTAAGGGCCTCTTGCTGGAGAGCTGGGGACAGCACTGCCACTGGTGCCCATTCCTGGGGAGCTCAGCACAGCTGGCTGGCCCTGCCAGTGTGAGGCAGTGCTTGTGCCAGCCTCTCAGGTTTTGGTGCCTGGTGGATCTGCAGTGACTTGGCCCTGGGGAGAACAAGGTACCTGGTAAGGAGGGGAAGTGCCCTACCTTGTGGAGTGGGGAGGAATCTGTCCATTTGTTGCTGTCTGCAACACCTTTGAAAGCGTCACTGCCCAGTGTCATGTATGCAGAGGGTCAGAAAGGACAGAGAAATCTTAAGAGATATTTATTGTCCCTTTTCTTTATTACATCACTACCATTTCTTGCTAACTAAATTCCCTAAGTTTCAAGTACCCAAGCAGTATTTCAGAGAAGGATCCATTCACCTCTGGCAGCAGGTACCTGCGTTGTGAGCTGGTTTCACCCAGTACAGCTGGTCTGGTGGTGGAGCTGGAGGGTGACACCCCAGTACCTCTCCCTGCCCTGCCAGCACCTCTCCCTTGCCTCAGTCTGTCCCTTGGCAGCAGTGGCTGTGGGCCCTTCAGCTTGCCCCTCCTGCCACCCATGATTTCTGCCCTTCTGGTCTCGTTATGCTTCCCTACTGCCCCCCTTCTCGTTGCTGTGAGCTGTGGGAGCTGCTCAGAGCCATCCTATTCCTCTCCCAGGCACAAAGACCCTGAGTGGTAGCGTGGCGACCATGGATACATGTGTGCGACACTTCCAAGAGGCCACAGGTAAGGGAGCCTTGTCCACAAGCTGTTGCTCCCTATGTTGATGTGGGAGGAGGTCTTGCTCTTGCCAGCTGTGTCCATTCCACCAGGAACATTCCCTCTCACCTGAGACATGAGACGGGCTGGGATCAGTGCCCTCAGATGAGCGCCTTTTTGAGGGGAGGTTTCATTTTAACCCATAGCACTAGTGAGAGGTGAACTCTCCTGCTCCTTCCTCACAAAGGCAGAATGATTTTCCCCTCCACATACCCTTGGTGTTCAGTTCTTCTGTTCCTGCTATCTCCTGTAGGGATATTTCCCTTCCCAGCTTCATCTGGCTGTGGTGAGGGTGTGCCCAGCTGACAGTTGCCTTGGCCAGGGGAATTTGGGTTGCTCTGGCAGTGGGGCTGTGGCTGCCCTAACCATCTCCCCAACTCTCTGTGCAAGGATGCTCCGTAGAGACGGCGTTGGAGGCAGCATCTCTGCATCCTGCCCAGCTCCTGGGGATTGAACACAACAAGGGGACACTGAATTATGACTCCGATGCAGGTACTGGTATGAGGATAGGAGGTATTGGTATGGGGACAGGAGTTATTGGCATGGAGACAGGAGGTACTGTTATGGGGACAGGAGATGTTGGTATGGGGACAGTGGTGTCAGGGCTCCTGAGCGCTGGAGCAAAGCAGAGGCTGCTGCACATCTTTATCCCCTGTTTCACTGGGAGCTGCAGGGAGACTCGCTCTTCCTGGGATTTGCTCTGGGCTTTTATTCCAGTGGTTATCCCCTTGTATGCTTGGTTTGGGAAACCCTTTGGAGTGCCCCCCATGCCTCAGCCAAGCATGGAGCAGAGCTGCCATAGCCAGGGTGGCACCACACTGCCCTCCTACTGCTCTGTCTGGGGTGGGGAGAGGCTGTTCCCTACTGAGCTCAGCTCTCCCCAGCCAGCTCTAGCAGCTCCATTCCTCTGACAGCTGCTTCCTTTCCCTCTTGTCCAACGCAGATTTCCTGATGCTGAACGACAGCCTGTATGTGCAAGCCACGTACATCGCCGGCCAGGAGGTCTGGAGACAGGATGCGTCAGGCATGTGACACTGGGCTGTCCCAGTGCCCTCCGAGGCTCCCTGGCACTGTGGTTAGCAGCTCTGGTAACCACCCCACTCCTCCCTTTTTTTTTTTTTTTTAATCCCAATTCCTTCCTGCAACTCCCTTAAAGGAGCCTCATACCAAAGAGCTGCGTTTTCCAGCTTCCAGTTACAGCCATGCCTGCCACGAATTTGTTGGTGCTCAGTTGGTGGCATGGGGAAAGCAGGCAGCTCTGTGCTGGCAGGGAATTCCACTCCTGGAGTGGCCTGAGGGACTGCACAGCTGTCCTGCCCCTAGACAGGTGCTCCTGTCACCATCTGACAGCAGTGAGGAGCTGTTCCAGCCTTTGCACTGTTTATACAGCACACACTAACCTGCCCCATGCCCAAGGCAGGCTCAAGCCATTCCCATTCCTCTGCCTGCTCTTTGCCTTGCTCCTGGGCAGCCATGGCTTGTTAGACATCATCTTCCACCAGCTCAGCTCGCAGCTCTTCCCATGACAAGCTTCCTGTTGTGTCAGCAGAAGCTGAGGATCACATTTGGGTCTCCCAACAGCCCTTCTATGGTGTGTCCTCAGAGCAGGGCTGTCACAGCTCACCGACTCGGTGCTGTTGTGGGACTGAATCCTCAGGGCAGAGATCGAAACCAGGAAAACCAAGGCATTGCTGGTCCTTTGTGCCTTTTCCCTGTATGGGCATTGAGTCCACAGCGCTGGAGACATGGACAGTATCCTGCCTCAGAAAGCAATGTTCCTTTCACCCCTGGCTCTGGCTGGATGGGTCCTGCAGGCTCTGTGCCAGCCATATGAAGTAGGGCCTTTGCATCCCCTGATGGGTCTGTGCATTCCTCAGGCCATGGACTGGAAGCTTTTGCTTTAGGGCATGCATCCAAACTGGTGGTCATGGGCTCACGAGCCCCCAGTCCAGCTCAGGAACTGAGGGAGAGGAGGACTGCAGCGGGATTCTGGCCTTTCAAGACAGTTGTGATAGCTCATTATTCAGTGCTCATTACTATCTTCTCCAATACTTGACTGTCAGCTCTTTTCCTGACACTTGGACACTTGCATGTGAGGACTGATGCTGATTTTGAACCTACTACGGGCAGAATAAGCCTTGAGATAAGTCTTAGACAACCTCTGACAAGGCTCAAACCAATGAGATGGTTTTTGTGGTGAGGAGAGGACTTAGACAATAGCTAAGTCTCTGCAAGGATGGAGGTTGTAAGGCAGATAGGAGTCTGGTCAGGATTGGCAGAAGTGTGCTGATTTTTCCAGTACCGTTTTATAACCTTTAACAGCAACATTTGGAAGTGCTTTCCCAGCATTTTAGAGCCCTGCTGGAATCACTGGCAGCCTTGGAGAATTTCTAACATCAGCTGCCAATGTCAGCGGAAATTATAATGTCCACAGTTTGAAGCATTTGAGAGACACATCACACCCTCTGCTGTGACACGCGCAGGCTGCCGCAGCACCGGCCTCAGTGGGGATCTTCTAGCGGCTGTTGAAAACAATCCGAGGGGAAAAAAATGTATATGAAACAAGGTGTCTAACTTTTTATTTACAAAATTAAATAATCAAAAGGAAATCTAAAATAGAGATGGGATTAGACAGCACCTGTGGGTGTGTATTGACCCTTTTTGCCTGCTGACAACAGGCTCTACCCTGCTCATGGAGGTATGGCCTATGTCCTGCTGGGGTGTGAGGGCCAGGGGCTGGTGTGGGCATTCCTGCCAGGGACAGGGGCACTGCCAGACATGTCCTGGGGGGGCATCAGGCCCAGTATCGCCGGCCAGGCCACGGAAGGGATTGTCCCGCTCTGCTCTGCCCTGGGGCGGCCTCACCTGCAACACTGGGGCAGTCCGGGGGGACACAATGTAGGGAAGATATTGAGCCATTAGAGAGTGTCCAAAGGAGGGCAACGAAGATGGGAAAGGGCCCTGAGGGGAAGCCGTGTGAGGAGCAGCTGAGGGCACTTGGTGTGTTCAACTGGAGAAGAGGAGACTGAGGGGAGACCTCACTGCAGTTCCAACTTCCTGAGGAGGGGCAGGCCCTGAGCTCTGCTCTGGGGGACCAGGGGCAGGACCCAGGGAGTCGCCTGGAGTTGTGTCATGGGAGCTTTAGGTTGGATATTAGAAAAGGTTCTTCCCCCAGAGGGTGGTTGGGCACTGCCCAGGCTCCCCAGGGCAGTGGGCACAGCCCCAAGGCTGCCAGAGCTCCAGGAGTGTTTGGATGATCCTCTGGGGCACAGGGGGTGAATCCTGAGGATGGTCCTGTGCAGGGCTGAGGGTTGGGCTCGATGACCCTTGTGGGTCCCTTCCAACTCGGCCCGTTCTGTGATTCTGTGGCACCCCCGGGCGGGCAGTGCACACACGGGTGTCCCACAGCTCCCTGTGGGGCTCAGGGGAGCGGGGGCAGTCCCGAAGGGACAAACGCGCTGCCAAGTTGGGCGCTGGGCGCCCCCGGGCCGGGCTGTGCCGGGAGCCCTCCGGTTCCTCACGGCCGGAACGGGCCTGCGGAGCGCTGAGGGCTCGCACAGGGAACCGGCCAGGGGCGGCGGGGAGAGCCGGGGGAGGCCCCGGGGAGGCCCCGGGCGGAGCTGGGCCCGCAGCCCACACGCTGCCCGTGACCGGAGGTGGGCGGTGCGGCGGGGCCGCTTCCTCCCGGCGCGGAGCGGCATGGAGCGGGTAAGGGCCCCAAAAGGTGCTCCTCAAAGCAGCGCCGATGCCCTCCCCAGCCCCTCCTCACCTCCTCGTCCCGAACATTCCTTCCATCCCCCCCGCGGGCTGCAAAGCCTTCACTTCCACCTGCTTAGCAGGAGGCGGGCGGCGTAAAAATACAGCACAGGGGTTTCCTGCCGTGGAGACATTGTGCCGTAATAAGCTTCAGGATAAAATGAGAAATTTTTGGGGCCTTTAAAAAGGAGAAGGAGGAGAGAAAGAGGGAGAAAAAAAAATCTGTGGGAAGTCCTGGCTTGCCAGGAGCAGGGGGGGGGGCGTATTCCTGCTAGTAGGAGGTTATGGCTGTGATTTTTGTAATGCAGAGGGCTCATTTGGTGCTCTCCGCACAGGACACGTGTCCCTGTGCTGGTTGATGGTATAAATGAGCAGTTTCACAGCGCACCTCCAGTGTAAAGCCAGATCTGATCTATGAGAGGGGAGAGGGCTTCAGAAAGTCAGGTTTGGAATCAGTTTTGGAGACGAGAGATTTGTGCTTCTTTTAGACATTCTTCCTTCCCTATCCCATGTCCAAGGCTCCCCAGGGTGTGTTCCAGGAGGAGCTGAAGTGGTGCATTTCGCAGCTGGAGGCAGATCTCCACCTCATCCCACCCCCAAAACCAGGTATGTTCCTCTTTCCCAGCCCACACATCCCATATTCCAGCCTCAGGTCTGATTTAGCAGATTTGGACATTTCTCTGTTTCTTCTCTCCCTTCTGTTCCCTGTTCTTTTGTCATTTGGGATTTGCTCTAAATACAAAACAACTTAAAGCATTGAATTTTAAGGGCTGTCTATCTGGAAGCAGCTTTACCTTTCATTCCTGTAGTGTTCATTCTCCCTGTGTTCTGTATCCTTTCTCATGTTCTCATTTTCCCGTCTAATGGCTTGTTTGGTTCTGCTACAGCTCTGCCTTTGTTTTCCATCTTAACTGTGCCAGTGTGTCTGGCCCTTAAACCCCAGTAGGTGTTTTTATTTTTGTGAAGCTTGTTCCGAGGAGAAATTACATGGAAGATAAAATCCTATAAAATATTTTTCATAAGGTCACAGATTGATCTTATCAGTACAACTTGTAGAGAAATGCAGACTCACGTCCTGCTCCTGGCCACTACTTAACCTGTAGAGGAGGGGTGTGAACCATCTGTAAAGTGCCCAGGTGAGTGTTTGCTGGTTCACCTGAGGATGTAGCAGTAACTAATATGTGCCCACACATGGTGCTTGAGTATCAGGCTCCAAGAATTAAGGCTGGGAGAGCTAGGAGTGTTCAGCCTGGAGAAAAGAAGGTTCCAGGGAGACCTGAGAGCTCCTTCCAGGACCTAAAGGGGCTCCAGGAGAGCTGGAGAGGGACTTGGGACAAGGGCCTGGAGGGACAGGACAAGGGGGAATGACTTCCCACTGCAAGAGGGCAGGGTTAGATGGGATATTGGGAAGGAATTCCTGGCTGTGAGGGTGGTGAGGCCCCGGCACAGGTTGCCCAGAGAAGCTGTGGCTGCCCCATCCCTGGGAGTGTCCAAGGCCAGGTTGGACAGGGCTTGGAGGTGTCCCTACCCATGTCAGGGGATGGATGAGCTTTACTGTCCCAACCAACCCAAACTATTCTATGATCAGACCGTTTTGTTACATCTGTGTCCTGTGCTGATGTCCTGTGCTGATCCCCAGTGCTCAGCAGCAGGGAAGGCAGCTCCTGGAGGGGAGGCAGGAGCTGAGTCCAGGGATGAGGCAGCAGAAGCAGTGGCCTGGCCAGAAAGGAGCCCCTTTGCACAGAGCCTGAGCCAGGAGAGCAGAGCAGTCCTGCTGATGGTACCCAGGCTCTGCCTGGAGTCCCAGTCATTGAAGGAGTGTGCAGTGAGGAGGCAGATCCAAGCTCTAGCCAGGAATTCAGCATCTGGATCCATGAGTTATCTGGCTGCAGCAGTGTCTGCATGAGATCCTGGACTGCAACCAGACCAACCCCTTGAAATAGGGATACACGTGTGCTCAGGACCCTGATACCCAGATGCTGTGAAGAGACATCCCACCTCTGTCCCACCGTGTCCTAGGGGACATCGGGCCCAGCATTGCCAGCCGGGCGAGGGAGGGGACTGTCCCAGCTGGGTGAGGGATGGGATTGTCCCCCTCTGCTCTGCACTGGGGCAGCCTCACCTGCAATATTGGGGCAGTTTTGGGTGCTGCAGTATAAAAAAGATCTGAAGCTGTTAGAGAGTGTCCAAAGGAGGGACACAAGGATGGTGAAGGGTCGGGAGGGGATGCCACAGGAGGAGCTGCTGAGGGCCCTTGGTCTGTTCAGCTGGAAAAGAGGAGACTGAGGGGAGACCTAATCAGGGTCTGCAGCTTCCTCAGGAGGGACAGCTCTGATCTCTGCTCTCTGTGACCAGGGACAGGACCCGAGGGGACAGCTGAAGCTGTGTCGGGGGAGGGTTAGGCTGGATATTAGGGAAAGGTTCTTCCCCCAGAGGTGGTCGGGCATTGCAGCCAGGAGGGGTGGGACGTGCCCATTCCACAGTACTAGTGCAGTACATCAGGCTGTCTTGTGGCTGGAAATGAGTGAGACAAACACTACAAGACTATATGTAGGGTACCCGAAATGAGGTCTTGGGGACTACTGTCACAGAACAGCTGTGCTTTTTAGACAATTTGCTCTGACATAAAAAATTTGGATCCCTCTTGTGGTCAGGCTGGTTTGTATGAGAGCCAGGCAAGAGTCCTACTTTTCAGGGTGTGCTCTCTACTAAGGTTTTTTCCAGTTTTTCAGAAAAGACACACAGAACTGGTCCCTGGGATTTGTATTTGCCTTGAGGAGAGGGTTGCTGAGCCCTATGTAACTTCTATGCCATTAGCAGTGCACTTACTGCAGTGTAAGAGTCTGACTATATATAATAAGTAGTTAGATTCTCCCCCCCTAAGAACATTTCACAGTATTTCATCTTCTAGAAGCGCTTGGAGTTCCCTTTCAACCAAATGCCAGTTGTGGATTAGTCAGAGGTGATATGAACACAGAGCACGTTTCAGAGAAGACTCAGTCATCAGCATCCCACAGTGGGGATTTTGAGGCCCAGCATAACCTGTTTCTTGTCTCTCTTGGATTTTTTCTGAGTGCAGTAGAGGAGACCCAGCACATTGTCAAGGTCCTGCGCTCCTCTGAGACTCCTCTTGCAAAGAAGCAACAAGTGATGAGTGATGTGTTTGGGGATTATTGTCTCAGCATGGCTGAGGGTCAGGAGAGCATGGAGAAAGCAGGTGAGCTTGAGCTGTCATTCAGGGGATGGTGAGACTTGATTCTTCTCTGTAGATTTCTTAGGTTGTTCTTTTGATTGAGTCAACTCTCTGGGCAGTGCCTTAGAGAGGGAGCTGCAGTGGCATCCCTGTGGTAGGAAACTGGTGTATTGATAGAGACAATACTCTTTGTCTTTTCTAGGCATGAAACCTGGTGCTCTGGAAGTACAGCCAAGCAGTGGGCAGGCTGCAGATGCTATGAAACAGTCTGACCCAAGCCCTGAGGCAAAACCAGAGCTGTTCACATCATCTGGCAGCAGCTTCCGATTTGATTTTACACTTTCTGAGACCAACCCAGGAGCAGACCCTGGTGACAGCAGAGCTGCCAAAGCCACCAAGCAGGAGAGCTGGAATGGAGCCTTGAGGTTTGCTGCCTCTGGACAAGAACCCAAGTTTGCTTTCAACTTTGCCATCCCAGATGAAGACTGTCCTCAGCTCCAGCTACTTCCCTCAAGCCAACATACAGGTCCTTCACTGCCTGCTGAAGCAGCAGCCCTGCCACGGGCTGCAGCCGTGCGGGAGCCCGAGGTGACTCAAGCTGCAGGGAGTGCACCCAAAGAGGACAGAAGCCATGTCACATCAAAGATCCCCCAACCAGAGACTGCTCCTGCAGATGAAGCAGCAACAGCGAAATCAACAGGAGATGAAGCTGCCCAGAAGAAGAAAAAGAAGAAGAAACAAAAACCACCAGTCAGTAAAACAGAGAGAGAAGAAACTGAGACCAGCAGGAAAGCAAAGACAGAAGCTAAGAGCTGTCAAAATACAAATACTTCCCATCAGGATGAGAAGACCTCCCAGGTAGTTAAATATTGATGAGATCCCATAATTTATAAACCCTTAACCTAAAGAGGCACTTTATCACTTTACACAGATGAACAATTAGCATGCTGCCTTGAGATGAGAGCTGAAAGACCGGGGTTGCTGCTTGCTTCTTCCAGCAGCTGTTTGCTTTCTCTGCTACACAGCTGAGGAGCCTGACTAGTGGAGGGGGAGTTAATGGTTCAGACTTGTGCTGAAGCATTTCATGTTTAGGCTTGTGACAGCTAATCCTGGGGAGCTGGATGCCATGTTTTCTTAAGGAAATGAAAATAAGAAATGGAGGTAAGTGCCCTCAATCAGTGCCTGTGGGTGCCGAACCGGGCCCTGCTCCTGTTGCCAGGCAGGATGAATTGCTCACATACTGCAAGTAGCAAAGCCAAGGCACAGAGCTGCCACCTGGTGTAGCCAGGGGTCTGGGGTGAAGCTCAAGGTGCTTCTCAGAAGGTTCCCACTGTAGGGCATGGCCCAGAAATCCACTGAGGTTGCAAGTGTTGTGTCAACACACCATTAAGGCACACCCTGAGGTTTTCTGTTCTGCTGAGGGTCTGGGTCTTTATTTTATTTTACTTCTCAGCACCAGTGTAGGTATTATTAAGAAACAGTGCCAGCTGAGCAATATTGAAATAGAAGATTGCACAAAATCTTCCTTTTCTTAATATTCTTCAAGGAAATTGCACTGAGTGTTCACCCACCTCTGGAACATTCCATCCTACCAATAAACACTGCTGAGTACAGGAGAGGTAGGAAGATTGGAAGGTGAGGTAAAGCCCTTCCAGTCCTTTGGAAGGAGACTGTTGTAGGTGAGGGCTTTTGTGTTTACATGTACATAACAGTTACAAATTACTTCAGTCCCAGGGTGCAACCCTGCTTTCCTGTCCCACTGCTGAGTTAGCCAGCTGGCTTTGCTCGATGGGACTTGGTTTCCTCCATCTCCATGGGCTTCAGCTTCCTTCTCCTCATGTATTTCTGGTTTAGCAAGCACGCAGGAGCTGAGAAAAAAAGACTTATTTGTCCGTTGTTCACTTTTTTGATTTTATGCAGGTCTGGTGATAGGGGTTTTTTTGTTGTTAATGCTTATTTCTCCCATCTGTAAGTGTATTTGACAGCTTCTTTCAGAGGAAAGGCACTGAACAGCTTTCCAGAAAACAGCACCCTCTGAATGGCAGCTACATATTAAACCCATCAAATAGAGGCAGTGAGTTGCAACTAAACATTTGTGCAGTGCTTTTAGTTTATCCAATGAAAAACACTAGAGGGAAAATGTCATGGAGTCTGTAAACTGATCACCAGCACGTGATGTTGAGAATAGTCCTGACTTTATGCAGTTCCCTTTTATCTCGTGTAGCAACTGCTGCTTTAATTTTTGGGTGACTTATTTCCTCTTGCTCCCTGTGCCCCACGTTGATGGCAGTCAGATGAGCAGCTGCAGAAGGAGCTGGACTGGTGTGTGCAACAGCTGGAACTTGGCTTGAAGACACAGAAACCCACTCCAAAGCAGGGTAGGCATTCAAATAAAGGCGAGCTCTCTCTTGTGGGAAGGGATGGCAGGAATGCAGGGGCAGAGCCAGCAGGAAGCCTTAAGCTGTGTGCTGTTCCTCCTTTGCTGCAGCTGAAGAGGCTCTCCGGGCCATCAGGACACTGCGCAGTGACAAGGCTCCACTGGTAAAGAAGCGGCAGCTCATGAGAGCCATGTTTGGAGACTACAGGAAGAAGGTGCAGGAGGAGCTGTGCAGGGAGCTGAAGCTCATGGAAACAGGTAGGAGAACTTCTCATAGTGAGGAGAAGAAGAAGAAGAAGAAGAAGAAAGGGACTCACTCCTGCCCTGCAGATTGTTTTGCAGAGTGGAGCCTCGCTATGTGAGATCACTAAACATCTCTAATGGCTCTTTTCTCCCCTCTTTAAGCTGCAAAGGCTGCCAGGATCGTGGAGGTGAAGGGAAGCGTCTGCAAGAAGAATGGCAAATTCATCCGGAAGTGCTCGGGAGCTTGCAGGAATAGCCAGGGTTCAGCAGGATTCCCTTCAGAGTCACCCAGGACGCTTTACACAGGCTTATTCAATGACACAGCTTCCAAAGAAGAATTTCGCTTTAATTTCTTCTAGGAAAGTGTCTTAGACTAAAACTGGTAAAAAATCCCTGTGCCAGATCCCCTGTAAACTGCAGAATGGTGGAGAGATGCTGTGCAGTAGGAAATGTCATCAGTAAGTCTCTTGATCCTGTTCCAGAGTGCCTTATCTAGAAATCTAAACCAAATCTGCCTAGTACTATATGACCCCAAGACTAAACCAGTGTAGTGCTCCTCTGTGCTCACACTGTAGAGAGGCACCTTTGAAAGGGTCAGCAGTGAAAGGATCTGGTTTTCTTCTGTAGAATTTACATTAACTGTAAAATCTCTCTTTTATACCATGAGATTTTCCCATTCTCCCGTGGTTTTTAAATAGAGCAGAGGTTTCCTAGCAGCTGAGGCAGCCATGCACACAGAGGGGAATGGTTTGGAAAGAAGATGCAGCTTCTGCGAAGATCCAGCAGTGGATCTTTGGATGCTTCCACTCCATGAGTCTGTGTGAATGCGGCTTCTGGCATCCAGCAAACACCAGCAACGCCATCACTGACATGAGGGAGTGGAGCTCAGGGGCTGGGGAGAGACTGAGTGAGAACCATTTTTGCTGATTCATCTCTTTCAATGGCAGAAACAGACTTAGAATAAAACTGCAAATGCTGGTTTAATCCAGCCTAGGGATGTAAGGACAGTTGTTTCCAGACAGGGAAAGGTTTTTGTTGCTGGAGCCAGGTTCTGGCCAGCTAGGAAGGGCGTACAATGAGCTCTTAAATAAAGTTTACTTTGTAAGTAGTCCAGTTACAACCACCAGTGACTCAGAGGTAAAATCAGCTGCGTGCCAACCTTGGGTGGTGGTGAAATGAACTGTCAGAGCCCAAAGACTCTCTTCCCCTTGATTTGTATTAAATTTTGGCTTTTTGAATGTGTGTCTCCAGTGTTTCCATACTGCTTCAGTCACTGAAGCCATCTCCTGTGTTCCTACAGAAAATCTTCCCACCAAACCTAAAAAAGCTGAAGGAAGAGAAGTGCTGCAAAAGGCTATGTGGTATCAGGTGTCCCTGGGGAGCAGTGCTTTCCTCCCTTTTATGATCCAGTCAGCCTGTGTGAGAAGTGAGAAATGGGAGTGTGGGCAGATTCCAGGGAGAGCAGCTGAGAGATAGTGGAAAATACTGGCTGGCAAAGACTTTAAAAAACCTGATGTTGGCTCCAAAAAATTAATTTTATTACTAAACCCTGACGCAGGCAGTGGCATCTGCAAGAATATTTTTTTTATTATTTTAAAAGAATATTTTAAAGAATTCCTGTCTGGGAAACTGAACTGGGATAACATGTACGACAGGGAAAAATATGCAGAGCTGACTTTATGTCTTCTTGAAGTCAGTGGGTAAAAACTGGAAATCAAGGTTGGCATATTATTTTATTTGCCAAGAAGCACAACTTTGACTGTGTGGAACAACCTTAGACAGTTTTTTTTTAGTTTTGATTTCCAGGATTTTATATTAAACATACAAAAGCTGTGTCCTTGTCAAACTTTTAGTGTTTTCATGCCATTTACTGAGATTAAAGAGCATCTTGTACATGACCTTGGAACTACAGCTGTTTGCTTTCCTGGCTGGTTGTGCAGCAGATGTCTGGGAAACGGTTATTTTTTCCCCTTCTCCTGTCTCAGGTAAAGCTAAAACTGCTAAAATGTTACAAAGTCTTTGCTGTGGAAGGCTGCAGGAGTATTCTGGGAAGCATTCTTATATAACTGCCTCGTGCTTATGCTGTTCCTTAGGCGTTCACAATTAGAATAAAGATACCAGTGAGGTGTGCGTTTGGTGTAACCTGATCCAGCAGTTTATCTTCAGATAAAAAGAGGTCAGAGAAAAATGCATTCTGATATGAGAACAGCTCCTGTGGTTTTCCAGAGGTCTGGATAATGCTGACCTACAAAGCCAGCCTATGTTCCTTCTCCTGTGCTCTGTTATTGGAGGACTTACATATGTGTATATGGGAAGGCAAACGTTCATCAGTGTGATCCCTCACATCCCTGAGTGTCATTCCAGGTCAGTTCCACAAGTCAGCATGGGGATCTTGGACAAAGCATTTCGCCTCTCTCTGTCCACTCCCTGTTTTCATAGCCAAGGTGATGCCTCCTGAGTTTTTGACAGATGTGCCCAAGTTACTTCACTAGTGATTTTGTGTTGAAGAGGCAACACTATGGTATTTCGCACCTGCAACTACAGCAGTCTGTACTTCATTTTTAAGCTTTGCAATGCTTGAAGCATCTCTGCTGTGTTACATTTGTTTAAAAGGAAACAAGCAATGTTAATAGGAGTTAGGAAGTGCTGTGGGCTGCTCCATCCATCCTTTCCCCTTTAGAGGGGCCACAGTGCAGTCTTAATGACTTTTTTTTTAAAAAGTGGTGTTTTCCCCTTTTAGTATTTCTTTAGGATTTCAGCGATGTCTCTTATTGCAGCAGTGTCGGGTTTGGGTCAGGGCTTTGCTCTGCTAGTCAGTGTAATACCTGTAGCTGGAGGTTTGGTCCATGCCCCAAGGCATTAGTGATGTACAGCAGTGAGAGAAAAGGGAAATATTCTCATCTGTCTGGACATCTCTGTTCCACTGTTCTTGCTTTAAGGAAATATAACTTTTTACCACAGTTTTGGTAGAAAATTGAGCTCAGTTGTCTGTCTCTGCATCCTCTCCTCAGCTTTGTGCCTGGCATTTGAGTTTGGTGCCAACAGGGTGACTGGATTTGGTATTCTGTATCTCTTTGGTGACTGCCCACCTAAATGTAGGGCAGCAGTGCCAGGCCCAGGCTTGTAGGCTGCAAACTGCTTATGGGAGCTTCCAGCACGGCTGTGACCTCAGGAGCGAGTTAAAGACAAGGCAAAAGGGAATGTGAAGTACCACAGTGCCTCTAGAGCCAAACTTGCTTCATAGCATCAATCTTGAAAAACTAAAAGCTGAGGAGCAGCTTCTAAAATGAGTAACAGGGTAAAGGAACACTGTGACCTGTCTCAGACCATTCACTGCAGTAAAGCGGGAGAAATGTCTCGCTTTGGGGAGCAAAGTGAAGAATTTTAGGGTTATTTATGTGGCAGGGTGAGGCCAAGAATGTTTCCACACGGAGGCAGCAGAAGCCTGGATGTGATCTCTGGTCCTTTTGGGCTTGGCACTCTCCTCTGTAAATAGACCCTCTGAGGCAAAGGTTAGGAAAAGCAATCCCATTCCAGACAGACCCTGCCTCCAATTGGAATGGCATCCCCGCCCCCATCCCTACTGGCATTTTGACTGTTATCCTGGATGCTGGACACTAATCAGTACATTTGTCCCACCCCTTCTCCTAGGCTGGGTCAGTGGAAATGCATTTATTGGCCCTTGAGCCGCCCCTCTTTGAGTAATCTGGGGGGCAGAGTTACCAAAGAGCAGCCCACAAAGGATCTCCAAGAGATCCCCACAAAGTCCAGCTGGAATCATCTTCAGAGTCTCAGCAGCCGCTTCTGGGGGGACTCCCTCTCCCAAGACCAGCAAAGACAGAAAGCCAACAAGTTGGTCCTACTGATCCTGTAACTGAGGTGACTAGTATTACCTTGTCTCACTTAAATTTTTAAGAGTGCTGAGGGTGGACTCAGCAACTAATCACCCCTAAAGGATAAAATATTATCTTCATTTGGGGAGGGAAACCCCAATCCTAATTTATCTTTTCTTTGAATTAGAAAGAAGAAGCACTTCAAGCAAGACAACAACTGGAACACTGTAACAGAAGGTGTGGAGCATTGAACCTGCAGCTCCATAGCAGGAAAAAGAGGAGATACTGCTATTTTAAGGTCATATGAAGCTGTGACAGATGATCTTGTATCTTTCTGCTGCCTAAGATTTCTTTGTTGCTCACTGTTTGTGCTGCTTTCGTGTTTAGAACCGCGGGAGGTCTGTAAGATGCTGCTTCGGAAAATCCAGCTTTGACATCCCTTCCCACAGTGGTTTGATTACTGGCACCAGTCCTCCTGTGGGCACTGTCAGCTGGGGAGTGCTGACCACTGGCTGGGTTTGGTCCATTTTTGGCTTCTTCCCTGTGAGTGCATCAACAGGCACGACCAGCTCCTGATACCTTCCCACTAAGATGGAAGAAGTTTGGGTTGTGTATCTCTGCCTGATCTTGATGATCATCATGCTTGTTCTAATGAAGCAAAACCCGCATGTGGAAGAGGCCAGGAAGGACAGGGAAAGCAAACCCTCCTCACCATCCTCTTCCTTTTCCCCCAGTAATGTCAGCAAACAACTGGAGCACACCCAGGAAGAACTGGATAAGTATCTGGAGAGGCTAAACAATGTCTTGTTTGACACAGAAGCCAGGAGAAGGGATGGCCACCATGATCAGATGTCCCTCCATCACAGAAGTGCTGATTTTGTGTCAGAAACTAAGGAGCACTCTCGGCACCTGTCAGGCTCCACAGAAGTCCAGGTATGAGCCTTAGAAAGACTGTCAGACTCAACTAGACTTCGAGCTCCTGGCTGAGGTAGTGAACCCTGAGGAACTGCATAGTCCATGAAGTTGGACAGGGAAGAGGTTGGGGGAAGTCTTGCTATTTTGGAGATAATACGTTCCTATTTTTGCACTGTTTATTTTGACATTAGGCACTCATCCAGAGACAGCTCTGTGTGACAAGTGTGGTATGTATGTCACACGTGAAGGATGTAAACATTGGCATTAGCACCATGCATGTGTGTATATCCATGATGTAATTTACTCCTTCCCACAGAAATAGAAACAGGCATCATTTCTTACTTCAAGAAATTACTGTGCAGCTCTTCAGCTGTTTTAAGTCTCCCTCTTTCCCCACATACAGCCACATTTTGCCAGTTTGCCCAGCTAAGGGTCTGGCCCAGGAGGGTACAGGAGCTCTGCAGGCACCTGTCTAGAGGTCATTGCATGGTATTGAGCCATGGGAAATACTTCTGGAATATCTCTTCTGTGCATGATGATCATGCAGAGTGTACTATGTAAACATAAAAGGCACTATTGGCAACCTGCAAAAATTCCTTTACCTTGGCCAAGGTCCTTTTTTAGGGGCTGAAATGATGCAAGGCTTTATATTTTTATCATGAACCTCATTGCAATACATCAGATTTTGCCCTTGAGATGACAGTTTTCATGGCAGCTCTGCAAGGCTGTGTCACTTTATGCCAGCAGCTGTTAGTATTCTTCATTCCTGAGACATGGATCTCACAGTGCCAATCCCCACCCCCAGAGCATGTCCTGGGTCCAGGTGAGAGCTCCAGCACGAAGCCTTCGGTGCAGAGGAGACCCTGATGTCAATAGTGGTGCCCTGCCCAGGAATCAAGAGAGATTTCTTGGTGAGGAAGGCACTGCTGTGAACAACCTTTGCAGTGAGCCAGGACATTATAATTTCGAAAGTCTTCTGGAGCTGCCTGAGCTATCTGGGGGAATCAGTACAGTGTTCAAGGCAGAGGGGCAGATACACAGAGTGTTGTTCAGAGCACATGGGCAGGAAGAGTAATTCAAGTTTACTTAGTAATTCAGATTTATTTAGTGGCCAATTTCATTTACTGAAGAAGGTGCTATTTTATTAGATCTGCTACAGATCAAAGAATAGTAATGATTTTTCATTATGGAAATGAATCATGTTGCAAAATAACAGTGTTAGCTTATTTTTCTGTTGTGGTTAAAGATGATTGTGTTGACAAAATACAGACTGAGGAGAAAAGGTGCTGTGATCACTATTTTCACACAGTTCAATCTAATGCTAGGCACCTTCAGGGAATGTTCACTTGATTAGAAAAAGGGGGTACGCTGTTTTCACACACGGAATCACAGAATGGTTCGGGTTGGAAGGCACAAAGTGGATCATCTAGTCCCACCTCCCTGTTCCAGCAGGGTCATCCCAGAGCACATGGCACAGGATTGCATCCAGA